GGGTAGGTTATGCACCACTTAGCTTTTCTGATAAACAAAAACATAATAAAAATCCGTATAATAAATGCAAATATGCATGAATAGCAATAAGGTTATTCGCAGGAAGTAGAACAAAGCTTACTTAAGGGTTGCCACGAACTTAGCGCGCATGCGTGTCACGTACTTTGGTCCCAGTAACCGCATCAGCCCGATGAGGCTATCCAGAGCAAGCAGGCGTTCCTCATCCAAATGTGGCAGCAAAAGGTATTCAGCATCAGCGACACGTTGTTTGTGAAGACTTTGCATGTACTGTGCTGAATCTTTTCTCTGGCAAACAGAGACAGTTGGATTAAAGTAAAGGTTAGGAGAGAAGCTGAGGGCTCGTTCAAGGCCAGAGAACTTGCAGACTCCCAAATTAGAGATCGTGGCATTAGAGTGACCGACTGTATGAAAAGGTAACCTAGCTGATGGAAGCCAAGCCTGACCAAAGTCGACTGGCAAAACGCTACGAGAGAGAGATCGACTAAGTATGGCGCTACATGGTACGTTGCCACATTGAGGGCCAACGACAAGAGGACAGGGCGGATTGGGTACGTGTCCACTATTGACACGGTCAGTTGAGGTAACTAAATTTGTCAGGTCAGTAGTCAGACTACTAGTAGCTTCACTCTCCAAAAGGCGGCTGTCGAAGAAGGCCAAAATGCCGCAAACGTGTTGGCTCAGAAAGTCGGCCTCAACAAGGAATGAGAAAATGAAATGAATGAAATAGGATTAAAAGAATAAGCTGCGTAGAATGGTATTTAGTTTTTTATGAAACTTTCAGTTAAATATGTTAATTTATTTATAAAATAATATATATATCTTCCCTGCCTTCCCTGTTATACAGCAACTACTAAAGAGTATAATTATTTATTCCCTACTTCTTACTCCGATTAGCCTAGAGCAAAGTCGGTGTCTAACGAAAGTTAAAAATTAGTTATATTACAACAATGGTTGAGATAATCTGACTGAGCTTAGAAAGCACATACTTATTACGCCCACATCTGTAAATAATAACATGACATAAGGTTCACATTTTCCACAATTGTTATTAGGCAGTAAGATGTGATGTTTTTCAGACGATATCAGTGCTTCATAGACTGTAATAATGAAGAATCTGTAGCCTACTCATTTAAGTTGAATTAATCGCAAAAAAATGAATCACTAGTGTAATTCTCATGGTGCCTATATAAGTGCCCTTAAATAACAATACCACAGGCGGATAATGGAAGAAATCATTGTAATCAATCAGTAAATCACCAATTTTTGATTGTCTCTTTCACCAGGTGAAGTAACCTGAGAAAGCCGACCTACTGGTGGATTGGCCACCAAGTTACAACCGGATTTGCCTGCTGCAAACGCTCTGGCTTGCTCGCGTTGCATCCGTGACCCGATAGCTTCATCGGTGACCCCAATGTATGCTTGGGAGGAGCAAGATCGAGGGCCGCCTGAAGAGCCCGAAAAAGCGGCTGTCGAGGATGAAGGGGCAGGTGGTAGAGGAGGCGAAGATGTCTTATCGAGCAGCCAACGAAGGCCGTCAAGGGCTCCAGTTGAGGAAATAAAAGGGTCAACTGATGGCAGCAATTCTGTGGCAGCTAATACACGAGCCGCCTGGTTATATTGATAATTAATCTCAGTTTTTCGGTTAAGATCACTTTTTTTAGTGCTTGCTAGCTCTGTTTTGTCCGGAAAGGAAGGAACATCTCTGAGGCGTAACACCAATTGATGCAATGTACGAGAGATATCGTTAAGTCGAACTATCTGCTCGATGGGAAGACCAAGATGCGACTAAATAAACAAAGATTTGTTATTTTAAGGGTCAAACGTATCACACTATATGCATAACAAAACAAAAGGTAACAATTTTTAAGGAAAATCTAAACACAACAGAATATTTTTATTTTGATTCCAACGAAAAATAGCAACACAGGTAAATATTGCTTAAAATTGAGTTTAATGGCGAAAAATGGGTATAGAATAAAATTGAAGATATGGATTATTGAAATCATAGCTTAACTAATATGGTTAAAAATCACTGAAAAATATCTTTAGAAACTAATTGTGTAATATATACTTGCGTAACATTCTGGCCACTATATATATATATAGGAAATTTTAGGAAAAAAACATCGGTCATTATGCTGATGTAGTGAAGACTGAAAAAACTAAGATTTCTCAAACATCGTTTCAATACACGTTTAGAGATTGATGCTTATTTTATTTGCTACTGAGCTGGCGCTAAATAGAAAAGAAGTGTGAACGTACGTATAGTATTTGTAAAGATGAACGTCGTCTTCAAATATAATTAACTTAATGGAACAAACATCTTGTTAGCATGTATGAGTATGAGTCTCAAAAACTTAATTCTAAACGAGAAAACTTGCGAGTACACAAAATATATATTTTAGTGACCCCAAAATATACCATCTGATTCAATGCGTAATGAACTAACCTCGAGGAATTGAAAGAGCCGGGTTCGCTTTTCTCTAGGAAATCTGGTAAAAATGAAAACGAAGATGTCTGGGAGGACGCAGAGCTGTCTGACCTTGTTAACGTAAGGCTATAATTAGACAGTTAAAAAATAATAATGTGAATGCAACTAAGTGCATGAAATATATTAAGTATATGGCTATAAAAAAGAACCATATAAATATCCCTAGATCTATAGATATTTCTTTCTGACAAATATCTAACTCAAACAAGCATTAAATCACCAAATAGTAAAAACCCAAACCTGTGGCTAATTAATAAAGAAGAATTCGATAACTCTATAGGGAGAATATATTAATTACATCCTAAAGTATGAAAGAGTTGGAAAATGGGCAATAAATCAATGAATTTTTCTTAATTTAGTATTGTATTGTGCATTCCGGGTCGGTATCCACACCCTGATGAATATAACAGGGAGCCTAGGCCCTCCAATAGTGTATAATTTGTAATGTATAAAAACTGGCTTTAGATAATCTCCAAGTCTGCCTAAGCAGTAAGCGGAATTCTCGCAAGCCTTTCCCCCTTCCAATCTCCAGCTTATCAGTTTCTTTAAAAGAGCACGTCCATGGCCTAGGTGATCTACCGCTTTCTGGTGTCCTCCCCATATGAGTCTAATACGTTTGTTGTACTGTAGCCAATTTTTTCAGCACAATTAGCACAAGGATCAAAAAACTTCAGCGACTATGCCGAAAATTGATACAAAAAGATCGGAGATAGGTAGAGACATTGCCCAAATCGGCCACACAATTGACTGGAGTTTGCTTCATAGAAAGCCCCACCACAAAATGTGATATAGGAAAATGTTTGGCCTTCATTGAAATTCACATCTGTCCTGTGACCTAAGGCCACCGCTGGGATTATGGCGCAGTGGTCAGCCTGTCGAGATCATGCGCCTCAGTGTCGTGGTTCGAGTCCAGCTTAGGGTGTTGATAAGACCGTATGCAACCTAGGTCAACTTGATAGTTTTGAAACATAATTTCCATGATGCTTACCTCATTTTTTGGGATCCAAGGCACAAAGTCAACAAGCTCTCTTAGACGCAGATGACTCTCCTGGTTATTTCGAGAGACCAGGGCAATGAAGACAGCAGGAAGCAGTTCCTATGATTAATAAAGACATGTCGTGATTCATAATGTTGCCTTGCCCCTACCTTAAATATTACTATATATGTAAACAAAATCCGATATCTATAACCTGAGATCATACAATGTCCACTAATTTATGTAACTAAATTAATATCTAGAACTTGAAGAGGTGCATAAAAGAATGAATCTTAGATCTAAAATTGTTTATTAGATTTAAATATACTTGTGGATGCTTAGGGCGGATTAGAACCTCTCGTTTTCATAAAGTTATTCCGCTTATTAGAAAGAAAACAATAGCCAAAACTCAAACTAACCAACGATCTATCCGTTATCACTTTATAAATATGCAATGATAAACATGCACTAAGCGTAAAAAATTAAACTCAAGGTAGCAGATAAAAGCTTATAGAAATTGTTTGACCTTGTTCTCGCAACTTAGTCATATTGTCAGGAATATCTGAAGTGACACGTCTTGACCAAATTATGCAAACAGGGTCAAACAACTGTACAGCCAAAGGAAACCACAACCATACTAAAGGCAACACCATCTTGGTCATTATACATTAGAAGAACTTATAATGTTGGCTTGACCTCGGTTTGTAAATTGCTGGGGCAACAAAGAGCCCTACTTTTGCGTCCTCTCTTACAGTAATCATAGTAATTTGCATCACCTGACCCAATC